AATGGGAGATTTTGGGGTTCAAAGTAGCTTTTGCACTCTTAGGTGTCATCACAATTTTGGAGTTCCTTTTGATAGAAGCTACGCTCGGGTTATTCTAACGGCATGCCAGTTCAAAGGCATTTGTGTTATTGATATTTGAATGCGCCTATCCTTTTGTTCTTTTTCCAGTTAAAAGTTTGCCATATAGTTGCTAAAAATCTTTGCATTTATAAATAAGTAACATTTCCCTTTTCAATTTCCCTTTTACAAGCATCTAATTTTGAAAAAGTTAAAACGCATAGCTTAACTTGTGGTACGTGAGATCATTTTGTATTGTTATGCAAAAGATGTTGAAAAGACAGTATTCTGAAGCTAACATTGGTTTTAGCATGTATTTTGTATGGTTATGGGAAGCAGAAACATGGCAGGCTTCAAGAATGAGAGAAGTCAAAGTTATGTCAAGCCGAGAGATATGATTTTGAGATTGTTAACTGGGTGAACTAGTCAAATTTCGGTGCCCAAGACGAAATCGAGGTCCATCAAAATCAAAGGAGACGATGTTCCTTCGAAGAAGAAAATGTGTTGAATTGAATAATTGCATACATTTTAGGCATGAATAGGATCATGACATTGCATGATGACTTAAATGTCTACAGGTTTCCCCATGATAGTGGAGGATTGAATATATTGAAGCATCAAGATGAGGATGACTAGTTTTGAAATCCTAAAAAGAATGATGACAACAATTGAGCCAAAGTAGATTCACATATCTAAGGGCTTCCAGACAAGTTTTCACGATGAAGATGAATTTTCAGAAAATTTCTCGAACTCAGAATTTTGAGTTGGATATTTTCGAGCATAATTAATGATTGATAATGTTTGATTTTCAGGTTCAACCTTCGAAGTGAATCAAACTCAAGCCTTCACGAAAGAGTAGTGAAGTAAATCATCTATAAGCCTTCACAAGGAGGTAGTGAAGCACAGAAGATTGTTCGAGTTCTACTCCCTGAAGAAAATAGGGCGGACCCGTAGGAAGATATGTTCGAGTTCTACTCCCTGAAAATAGGGTGGACCCGTAGGAAGATTATTGTTCGAGTTCTTACTCCCTGAAGAAATAGAGAGCGCCCGTAGGAAGATTATTGTTCGAGTTCTTACTCCTGAAGAAAAGAGAGCGGACCCGTAGGAATTATTGTTCGAGTTCTTACTCCCTGAAGAAAAATAGAGCGGACCCGTAGGAAGATTATTGTTCGAGTTCTACTCCCTGAAGAAATAGAGAGCGGACCCGTAGGAAGATTATTGTTCGAGTTCTTACTCCCTGAAGAAAAAGAGAGCGGACCTGTAGGAAGATTAGTGTTCGAGTTCTACTCCCTGAAGAAATAGAGAGCGGACCCGTAGGAAGATTATTGTTCGAGTTCTTTCTCCCTGAAGAAAAAGAGAGCGGACCCGTAGGAAGATTATTGTTTGAGTTCTACTCCCTGAAGAAATAGAGAGCGGACCCGTAGGAAGATTATTATTCGAGTTCTACTCCCTGAAGGAAGAGAGAGCAGACCCGTAGGAAGATGATTGTTCGAGTTCTACTCCCTGAAGAAAAGAGAGAGCGAGCCCGTAGGAAGAAGAATGTTCGAGTTCTACTCCCTGAAGAAAGAGGAAGTGAACCCGTTGGCCGAAGATTTTTCAAGTCTCACTTACCGTGAAGGAAGATTGGAGCAGATCCCTTACCAAGTTCCCAATCGAGGATGAAATTGGACAAAAACGCGCTGTCTTTTTATCTTTACCCTATTCTTGTTAACACAAGAATGCGCAAAGAGAGGCAGCTGTAGACACTCGTTTTGTCCAGGGTTCTCGTTCGAGTTTTTACTCCAGTTTATTTATATACTACTAATTAGTATCATTACCATGTTTTGCATGTGTTTATCCATTTAGGTTGTTTTTAGTTTATTACCATGTATGTTTAATTATGTAGGGTGTTTAATAAATATACATATATATATCTATGATATGTTTAATAAAATTGCACTAAATAAACGTTTTTATGATTACAGACCCAAATGAAAAAACAGATTACAACAGGCTTGAACCAAGCCCGAACTCAACAACCCGGAACTGGCAGCCCACACTGCTAGGGTTGGAAAAACCCTAGCCTTTCTTGTCTCAGCGCAACAGGAGCCCTTGGATCTGGCTTCACGATCCAACGGCTCACAGCCTTCACCAGATTCCTGAGCCAACTGCAGGATCCACCAGAGGAACCCGAGGCAGCACACGCTCCACGAGCACCGAGACAGCACTCTGATCGAGCACCCACAACCCAACAGCTCTCACGTGAAGCCATCACCATGCTGCCAGGTCACGCACGCCCAACCGGACAACAGCTCGGCTCCCCCAGCTGCCACCCATGACCTGCTCTCGCCAGTGCCCTGTAAACACACCAAACAAGAAACAGAACGGGAGGCACAAAAAAAAGGGAGAGGGGAAATCAAGTAGAAATAACCACAAAGAAACCAGAGGAATGGGGGATCATCGATTATCAGAGAAGGAGAACCCTAAAGTTATCAATCATCATCCAAGCAAAAATCGCTCAACTCATCAGCTATCATCGAAAGGAAAAAAAACACAAAACCAAAAAAACATAATCACAAAACCAGTGATCATCGAGAGAAGATTCAAACAAAAAAGCCATCAGCCGCTAGAAAACCCAAAAGTCAGAAATCCTTACCTTTCCTGCCCAGATACGTTCATCATCTTTGCTAGGAACCAATACCTCATCGAATCGAAGGTAAACCCCTTCGTCTTCCATTGCTTTCCAGTCGTGCATGTCTGTTTGGGCCTCCGGTTTAGGGACTTGAGGGGTTTTCAGGTCTAGGAAGCTTGAGTTCGAGTTCTATGAGGCTAGGTTTCTGGGTGAGGGGAGAGTGAGGGAACCGAGGGGTCTAGGTTTCTCATCGGAACCAGTGGTACAAGGTTGGCCACGGCGTTGGCCTTTGACTGGAGAAAGGAGCAGAATGGGTAATTGTGAGGGAATTTTTAGGGTTAGTTTTTAGGTTTTGAGGGGTTTCTAGAAGATTCATCCTCGGGATTGGTCTAGATGGAGTCTTAGCTCCTCGTCGGAGCGTAGGGCGGCAGAAACCATGGAGACTTTGGGCTTCGTCGAGGGTTAGGAGAGTTTGAGGGAGAAGTTGAGAATGGCGGGGGATAAGTTTGCTAAAATGAAACTAAAGGGAGAATGAAAATTAGGTTAAAAATAAACCAAAGACACCTAATATATTCAGTTTCCAAAACGACGCCGTTTGGAACCCGAGCCTAGGAGAGGTTTAACCACGTCGCGGTCCTTGTAGTTCTCAGTTGTTTTGTTTAATCCTCGCTTGATGTTGTGGAAATCTTAAATTGGGCTCTCAATCTTTATGTTTGTTACATTTAGTACGAACCATGTTGTTTAAAGTTTTTCACAGTTTTATGTATTCGACTCTTAAATTTCAGACATTTATTTTAGTCCTCTCGTCTGTTAATTCGTATTTTGTGTTGTTATATTTTGGCCTGTTGTTTCGAGTTCTTTTATTTTAGCCTTAAGTATTGTTGTAGCTGAATCTTCGTTTTTCAAACTTTTGACTTTGAATGTTTTGCATGTTCTATTTTAGTCCATTTAGTGTGTTTAATCGAATTTTGCATCTTTTGTGTTTTGGCCCATTATTTTTAAATTTTTATTTTTAGTCCCTTTGTTACCATTTTATGCATGTTTTAGGTTTAATTTAGATGTACTTTAAGTATGCATGTATATTTATCTAAGCATGTTGTCATATGAATATATTTAGGTGTATTCTTTTTTCTTTTTGAAAGCATGTTAATCTCGCGTGTATGACCCGACACCATTACATAATCAGATTGAGGGTAATACCCTTTTAATTTAAAACTGTAAGAATAGCTTTCTTAACTTACAGGAAAGTTGTTCTTGATAGTTTTAAATTACAAGTGTATCCTAACAGTAAAACCTAAAGAAATTTGTGTCTTCACTCTAAAATTTGGGAACGAAGAAAAGAAATATTCGACCATTTAAATTTTCGAGAAAATGTCGTTAGAGAACTAAAGATCTGGTCTCGATATCTTTAAATTATCGAATATTCTTTATCTTTCTAATGGTTTGATAATTCTAATTTAATCTACTTTGATGCTTTTGAATATACAAATCACATTTTGTTGTTCTAAGGGATTATTAATCAAATTAAACTCGAACTTGTGAAATTCGTTGCAAAGACTTAATTAATCGACTAGGTACCGATTTAGGGCGTTGTGGGGGTGCTAATCCTTCCCGCACGTAACCGACTCCCGAACTTGGATTTTGGTAAGTAGACCGTAAATTTGTCATTTAATTAAAATTAATTCTTATTTAAAATGACAACGTTTTTGGGTGCCCAATCACACCCTAATCAAAGATTGGTGGCGACTCCTCGGACCATATGTTTTTATCGTAAAGGGATTTCCAAATTTTCGAAACGAGAGGTTTTCTAAAAATCACATTGTTTTTAATTAAAAATTCAATTGAAAAGAGAATAATTAAAGATGATGCAGTTTTCAAAAATCTCGCCCCCACCCTCGTTTAAAAATCGTTTCGACAGTTTTTATCTATCTTTGTTCGAGTTTAATGGTTAGATTTAATCTTTCATTGTATGGTTCTTATTTGATTTTAAGTTGCTTGTTTTGTTTCACTTATCATAGAAAAATTCTCTAACTATGAGTTTAATTTACGATTGTGATTATAAATCTTTATTATAATTTGAAATGTTTTATATTTTGAATAAAATTAGTTATTTATATAAAAAAAACTTAGATTATGGGAGATATATGTATATATTGAAATATAAATTTATAAAGACTTTAAGAAAAATCTGGGTCGCGTGTTCTGCCACTTTGAATTTCTTCAATATTTTATGCGTAAAGTTCATACCTTCATTCTTTTTAAATTCCCTCATTCACAGCTTTCCTCTCCAACTTTCAAACTCGACTCATCAACTCAGTAAACACACACATAAACCATTGGAAGAGCTCCTTGCTGCGACAAAGCTAACGTGAAGAAAGGTCCATGGTCACCCGAGGAAGACGCTAAACTCAAGGCATATATAGAGGAAAACGGCACCGGTGGAAACTGGATTGCCTTGCCTCACAAGATAGGTCGCTACTCCATTCTTAAACCTTCCAAAACTCCTATGTATATTTATATATATATATATATTCAATTTTCTAAAATGAAATGTTTCCAGGGCTTAAGAGATGTGGCAAAAGTTGTAGACTCAGATGGTTGAATTATCTTCGACCCAATATCAAGCATGGAGGGTTCTCTGAGGAAGAAGACAACATAATCTGCAGCCTTTACATAAACATCGGAAGCAGATGGTCCATAATTGCAGCCCAAATGCCGGGGAGAACTGATAACGACATTAAGAACTACTGGAACACCAAGCTTAAAAAGAAGCTGCTGGCCAAACTGCGACCACCACTGCAACCGCCGCCAATCACCACCACCACCACTGCAATCTCCAACTCCATGAATTCTCCATACCCTTTTGATTTTTCTTCTCCCCAAGATCATCTATACGAGAATTCATTCAGTCAAGGGCTTGATGGTTTCCCAGGTGAGCTTATCTGCAGCAATAATCAGCATATATTTAATGGATTTGAGGGTTTCTATGGCGCAAACAACATGGTCGACGGCGGCAGCTGCTGGGGAGACATAAATTCTGTTGGCTTTCCACAAGTTTATTCCTATGATAACAACACTGTACATGGGCGGTATAAACTCCTGTGTTGAATTCATGCAGAGATTATTGTTTTGTTTTGTAATTTTTCCCATTTCCTTTTCTTTTCTCATTATTTTGTTAATTAGCTTTGATTTTTCTACCTAAACAGCTTTTTATCATTTAGACTTGTTTACTTTGTCCAATGATGAATCCTAAATCCTCCATAAGTTGTTAAATAAATGTGAACAGATGTAATTGATCAGTCCAAATTTGCTTTGCACTTTGAGAACTGCCGAGACAGGTGGACCGAGAGGACAGCTGGGTAGTCAAACTTTATGGGATACTACAATGCAAAAGGTACAATTTTTTCCTTATGTAACAGATGCATACAATTGCAATATCTGCTCTAAAATCCACTCTAAGCTGATAGGTACAAAGGATTTTAGATTAAAGGTGAACTTTTAAAATTATAGGAATCAAAAACATTTTATTAATAAAAAATATTTAAAATATTATTTTTATTTAATTATTTAGTTATCTTTCTGATTTTAAAAGTTTACACTTTTACTATTTATTATTTATGTTATCAGAAACTATTTAATTACTAACTCATCAAATAATTAAGATCCTCTAGAAAATTCGAGAAGAGCACCTTCTTGAGAGAACTCAGGAAGAACACTTCCATATCAATGGAGAAAATACCTCAAACGTCAAACATCTTTTGAGAAGTTGCGACCTTTTGACATAATAAGCACACGTGACCTAATATAGTTATATCTACTGTTAGTCGACTCTATTCGCCTAACCTACTTATCTACAAGTAGTCATAATGATCCTATGCCTTACACCAACATTGAAAATCACTATAAAGTCTCTCGACCAAATCGAGAGAAGGGATATATAGAATCCATTATTCTCCTTTATCATTCAACCCTCTCTACCATCCTATGGAGACAGAGGATTTAGATATCGACCAATGATTAATCTCTCATCGACTGTAATTCTCCATCCAAATCAAAAAATATAAAATATTTATAGCTATCGTGATCCATTTGTGTCTATCAACGACAATAATTAAAATTTTCTCCTCGTAACATTTGTCTGCAAATTAAAATATTGGGAGCTATAAGAGCTAAGAAGAGATTAGGCTTCGAAAGAATTTAAAGGAGTGGTATTTTGTCAAGATTTAGTATTATATTTTTTTAAAACTTTTAAGGATATCACGTATCTTCCACTCCTTGATTTAAGGCATGGGTTAAGTTATAATAAGAATGAATATAAAAAAAAACATATTGGTCTCTTCTGATTAACTTCGTCCATTAACAAATGTAACTTGTGATATGTCACAGAGCCTCAAAATTTGACGGTTTCGTATTAATCTAAAAAACATTTTTCCTACTATACACGTGTATGAAGAAAATCAATGAAGAAAACTTAATTTCATATTTTTGGAATTCCTTTTATTTGTAAGAAACAATTGTAATACGATAAATTTTGATATTTTACACATCTTATTATAAAATATTTTAAAACTTCGTTTTAAAAAGTAGTACATGACCTTCACTAAGTAGTCCATGGATGCCTAATAGCAATCGTTTGTGATTTTTAAATCGGACCTGCCTAAACTCATTAAAAAAAAAGACAAATTACGTAGAAGAAAGAAAAGATATCCAAAACGTTACTAATTATGGTCGCTAATTATGTGATTTTTCTTGTCATCAGTGGACTTTACTCTGTCTCCTATTTCAATCAATATACTTTAAATCTGTTCAATTTCTTCACTAAACTTAACATGATTAGCATTTTTGGTCACTCAGTCGTTTTCTTACTAAACAACGTTGTAAATGAGTTGGTATATAGATGTCAAACGACGTCGTTTTGGTAAAAAATTTGTTTTTCTAAAATGACGTCGTTTTAACATCGCTAAATATTTAACGGTCGGATGACCAAAAATGCCTCTAACATATCCAAAACAGTTACTTCCACTAAGTAGTCCATGGATGCCTAATAGCAATCGTTTGTGATTTTTAATTTGTTTCATCTTCTCATTAAAAAAAAAAGACAAATTACGTAGAAGAAAGAAAAGATGCTGGCCATAATGTCAAAAGGAGTAGCACTAGGGCTAATCAAACTTTATCCAAGATATTAAGTACGTATTTTCTATTTGCCAAGTCAATCACGCATTAATGCTTTGTTTTCATTTCTCACTTCATTTTACTCATTTAACAAAGCAATTCACCTAGTTAAGGTTTTGCTGATAGAAACAAAGCAATTCACCTAGTTAAGGTTTTGCTGATAGAAATATTTGAGTTAAAATAGTTATAAATAATTTATTTTTTAATTTGGATGAAAAATTATAGTATGTGACATGGTAAAATCATATACGACCAATATCGTGTGGTTAATAGTGATTAAAAAAAGTCTGAAGAGGAAAAAGAGACCCCTTTAATTTATCATGGAGATTTATACATATAAACTCTTAATGTTAGTATCATGTTTAGGATTATGATCACCATACATAAGCTGACAAATTTGAATAGATATTATAATCTTATAATAGGTTTAACTATGAGAGATTTTACGAGTCTATTGAAAATCATATTAGGATATAATAACAAACGAGAATATATTTAATATCGGAAATATCAATGTTCAATTAATAAAAGAATGACAATAAAAATATAATTTTCGAGAAAAACCCAAAGGGAATACAACACCATCAACATCGATCCCATAAAGTAACTAGCATCTTCACTATGATATCCAGGGACGGACGTAGGGTTTTATATTAGGGGCGAACTTAAACTTATAAAATTCCAAGAGACGAACACATATTTTCAATAAAAAATTAATAAAAAAATTTAAAATATCGAGTAATTTTAAAATTTCAGGAACTGATTACCTCCATCAGTCCCCTTAGTCCATCTGATGAAATCATCAAAATTTACAAAACCTTAAAATATGTGAAGAAAAGGACAAAAATAACCTTCTCCCAGCTTCTTAGAAACCAAGACATTTTGTGTTGAATTATTCATTGTTCACGTATTAAACTTTCATCAATGATTTCCTTATCAAAGACTATGATGACCTTCCTTTGAGGTCAAAACCGGACCGACTCAATTATACATAATTGATTTTACACGTAGCTGCTACAAATTGAATAAATGTTATTAGAGTTTAGTTTGACTTTATCTTAGTTTCCTTTTTGAATTTTGTCGGCACGCCAACATATATTACATATAAAATTTGTAGCAACTTTTCTATTAAAATAACTTTGTTAATTTGTATTATCATTATTATTAGATTCTATAAAAAATTGTACTATTGCATGAATTAAGTTACTTCAGCAATTAAAGTAATCGTTATTGTTCTTAGAGATTACGGGTTCGAGCACCATCGACTGCGGTAGGGTAATTGAATGTTCAATATCAAATGGTTGAGAGTATTTAGAACAAATACTACTTTGTAACCATAGCTTAATAAAAAAATTGACTCATAAATCATAAAATAATATATGTTTTTTTTTCTCGGCAAAATTAATTTTATTAATATAACCTAAATTAAGAGCCTCGTTAAAAATCTCTCTAAACTTAAACAGAGGAAAATAGTACTCTTAATTAGGAGAAGGTACACCACCGAGATACACTTTCGAACCAAATAATATATGTTTCAACAGTTGCAGAAATGACTCTAATTTAGGTCATATTTAATATCAAGCTTAAAATTAACATCAAACACTATTGAATGAATGAAACATCCATTGTTCTAATATACAAGAACCATAGACCCATCATCGATCTATCAATCTTATTAACGATTAATACCAACACTCCCTAAAATGATATATCAAACCTAAATCACATTACTATACATAATTAAAAACTTAAGAATTTGAGTTCAATTTTATACTTTCAGTCAACATTTCAATTCGCTTTAAACACTTACTAACACTTAGGAAATTTTATTCGCAATAGGACAAACAAGTCGTTAAGAACCAACCGAACCCCATTCATGCTCAAGAACATGCATTCGATCCTCTTATGAAGATTATATACTAACTAAAGGACATGCAAGAGTCTACTACATTCCAGTCTAATAGCATTGATATTCAAGCATGAGTATCGATACCAAACCCATAAGTATTAATATTTACCTTGAGTAATAGTACTAGATTAAGGTTTAAAGTTCGATTAATTTAAACTAATATCGATATTCACATGTGAGCATTAGTACTACCCCAATAGTAATGATAGTCACCTTGAGTATCAGTATCAAATTAAGCCACAATGTTAAAAAAATTTCAACCAATATCAATACTCACAGACAAGTACCGATACTAGATTAAGGTATTGATACCAAAACTGAATTTGAAGTATGAAATAATAGTCTAATACTGATATTACAAGGATGAGTATTGATACTAGAGGAACAATATTGATACCACAAGAATAAGGCATTGATACTCCTCTCTAGGAAAACTCAGGTTTTTCTTATGTTCGTCTACATATTTTTCTTATTAAGTTTGATTAAGTATTCATTTTGGACCCAATGTTTCATTTAGGGCAGGAAAGCTCCTAATATTTGCTTAAATAATTACTTTAGCCCTTATTATTTTTCCTTAGAGCATTTTGGCCCTAAGTGTTTCATTTTAGGAAGTGTTGACAATTTGTTGACCAATGATTTTCATCCAAAGAGGGATATTTTTATCTTAAAGTTTGGAGGATTATTTGAAGGAAATTAATTGTGGTTTCTAAATTGAAATGAATTAATAAAATTTTGGATTACGATGAAGGCATGATAAAATTATGACATTGTTTGGAAAAGCCTTCGAAGTTTAAGGACCCAGTTGACCATTTTTTCTTGGGATAAATTGTAAAATAATGTTAAGGTATGATATTAGGGGAGCTCAATCGCACATCCTTGGATTGAAAGCCTTTCTCTTTTAACAATTATGCCGCAACTTCAATCATGTAAAATTGGGGCACATTTCATTATTAAGGTATTTTTTGGAGTATGTTAAGGGCCCAAATATTGTTAGTAATAGAGCGTTAGGTCCATTGTATATACTTGATATTTTGATTATTGGATTTATTCTTATTATTATTACTGTAATAATGTGCATATTTTTTTATATTAATATCATTAATAGTATTGTTTATTTTAAATATCCTTTATCAATTATTATTGTGAGAACAATTCTAAAAAAGTAAGATTGATATGAAATTTGATAGATATTCATGGGATGAATATGTGAATGCGTTTCAAATCAAATTTATAAGTATTTGTTGAGAACAAATGTTAGAGCAACGTTTTGAGATTAATACATGGATCAATCTCATATATTAATCTTGAATAGT